TGCCTGACTTGTTTCACTTAATATAATTCTCTCAATGTCCATCCATGTTGTTGCAAATGGCAGTATTTCATTCGTTTTTATAGCTGAGTAGTATTCCATTGTGTAGATATGCCACATTTTCCGTATCCACTCATCCGATGATGGACATTTGGGCTGATTCCAGCTCTTGGCTATTGTGAAGAGTGCTGCAATGAACATTGGGGAGCAGGTATACCTTCGACTTGATGACTAATCAATATTTCACTATACAATCTAAATCTATGTCAATACAATTCTAAAAGGAAATATGTAATATTTCTAGCTTTTACGAACAAGTAATAGATATAAACTATTTATCTCAAGTGAGTTTTTTCTTTTCCAATTGTGAGGTAACAAATTTTTTTTTTAACTAATTTTTAGTTAACTAATTTTTTTTTAACAAATGTTTATTAACATAGAAGTGAAACTAATATATAAGACATGCTCCTGATCTCAAGAATCAATCTGAGATGCAACACACTCAGTGATCATAAAGCAAGAGAACTTGCTTCAAAGTATCATATATGAATATCAAAATCATAATTTCAATTTTATTCCTCCTTTAAACTCAGACAATTTAAGTTTATAAATTAGCACAAAGCAACTGGTAAAACTGGTGGGAAGGTTTCATAAAAGATAATATCAAAAAACCCTTCTTTAATGCTAATAAGTGGTGTCCAAACAATTCACTTACATGAAATAAGGGGTTGTTATTGTATAATTAATGAAATGAATATGGTGGCTGGACTGAGAACAGGAGCCAGTGATCACTAATTACACTTTTCAAATCCATGCTATCCAAATGTTTTAGTGGTTATATCCAATGTCAAAGGATAGGTCAAATTTAAAAGAGGTATAGGGTATTTCTGGCAAAAAGAACAGGAGCAAAAGCACAGAGGTAAGAATGAGCAAGAATGTTTAAGACTATAGGAATCATATGTATGGAGATGTGAGAAATAAAACATAAAAGACAGGAAAATTTTGGTGCTGAAATGAAGACCTTAAACTCTCATTTTATAGTAAAGGAAACTAAAGCACAGTGAGGAAATGATAGCCCTTTAGTCTCACAATGAATTAGTAGTAGACATATACTTATGAGTCCACTGTTCTCTACATCACAACCTCACTTCTAAGATTGAGGTCAGTCCATATCGAGGCTGTGGGTGGGTAAAGGGTATGGAAGACAGGGATCTATTAAGTATTTTTTTATTGAGAAACTACTTTGATCCAGTCACTATGTGCTAGGGACTTTATGTGTAGCATGTAATTTAATCTTCAAAGAAATCCTTTGTTATAGAAGATAAAAAACCAGATGCAACTGGGTCATAGGTGTTATCCCTATTCCTTTACTTGAGCTTCATAATCTCCCTCTGAAACACTTATTTGAGAGTACTTCAATATGAATCTTTCCACTAACTTTTTCAAGTACCCTTGTATCTATCTCATTCTCTGCCACTCGGCCAACCACCACAGATTTCTCCTGTTGGTCTCCTAGTACTGAGAATGAATTTGTATGCAACAAGCTGAAACTAGACAGCAATCATACCAAATCAATGGTAATATCTCAGTAAGTAAGGAGATCCACTGCCCCAAACTGCTATCTTCACACTGCTTGAAAATTTCCATTGAATTCTGGTTAAAAAAGAAAAAAAGAAAAAAAAAAAAAAAACTTTATAAAGAAGGAAAAAAAATCTTAGAAAAATAAAAAAACAAAAATGGCAACTCTAGAGAGCTTTGAGATTGTACTGTGTACCTGGGTGTGAGTTAATGATCTCAGCTACTTTTTAATTACTTTCTGAAACCAAGTGAACTGAGCAAGTAAGTTTTTAACTAAAGGAAAGGGAAAAATTTTGAAGCAAGAAGCACTTTAGAAGGCAAAGGATGCCAAAGATAGGGATTATTACTTCAAATTTTTTTTGCCTGGGGTTTTCATTTTATAGAAGAAAAGGGAAGCAAAATCTTATCCTTTTCCCTCCAACATCACATGGCTCCCTGGTCCCACGGCTTAAGAACTTCATCTAATTGCACCAGAATTGCAGTTCAGATATATTATTGCCAAAACAGCCTTCAGCTTACTACCAAGCACCTAACACTGTTTTGTCTAATAAATGTTTTAAGAAGTATTTGTTGCATTCAAATTTGTAAGTTGAAAACTGTTCATGTATATCAGTAAAACTGTCATTTATCTTTGGCTATTCAGGAAAAAGGGAAGGAATATACATGTATGTATGTTGTTAACACAGATCTAATATGCTGAAAAAGAACACAAGATTAGGAAGCATGGGTGTGACTGTGAACAATCTGCAGATGGTGATTAGTTCTACTCATTGATAGATATTAAGTTTTTTTACATGCATATTCCAGACAAACACATATATAGAACTTCATATGTGTAACAAATACAAGTTTAAAATCAAAAGACAGAACATAACGTATACCAAAACTAAATCCTAATCTTGGTTCACGTTGTGGAGTGGCTTTCGTATGTTGTAATCTCCAGTCAAAACGAGAAATACTTCTTAGGACCTGTAAAAACAATTTTATTAAAATAAATTGATATTTATCAATCAAATGAGAGAATACTGACAATTATAAGAGAGTACAGCAACTTGTTGGCCACACTCAATAGCATAATTGTTAAAGTCATCATTACTTAAATGCCTTCAGTTGTAATTTAATTTAAATAAGCCAATTGCCAATTATTTAAACACCTATCATAAAGGAGAGTTAAAAAATAAAAAACAAAAAACAAGTAATGAGGGGCTGGCCAGTTGGATCAGTTGGTTAGAGTGCAGCCTTATAACTGCAAGGTCATGGGTTCAGATCCCTGTAACAGCCAGCCCACAAAAAAAAAAAAAAAAAAAAAGTAATGAAAATAAGACTAAGCAGTATTTGCACTACTGAAATGGAGGGTTTCCAGGACAAATAGTCAGGGGTAGTAGCAGACTTCGGACCATTATTCTGGAAATCTTAACTACAAGCTCCTAGGACATTGGTGATTGGGAGGCTGGGGTTAGGAGAACAATAGTATGGAATTATACATACTGTGTACAAGAGTTAGCTAGTCCATCAACTTTGATACCCTGTCCCAGTGAGCCTCCCAGATATGCCTCTGGCAATCTTCCCCTTGGAGGATCCCATTTTCTAAGATATCTCACTCTAACAAAACAATCAGCATAAAACCATGTTCCATATTTGTCTATAGAACATGTTGTCTACACACATTCTTACAATGTTCTAAGCTGGGAATCAGCAAACTATTGCAGCCACCCAGTTTTGTAAATAAAATTTAAATGAAATTCCCACACCATATTATCTATTATTGCTGCTGCTTTCACAGAAAATCTAGGTGGTGGCCATGGAGTTCATATGGTCCACAAAGCCAAAAAATATTTACTATCCGTCCCTTTACAAAAAAAGTTCACCAACCCTGTTCTAAGCTACTAACATACCATTTGTCTTAATATCTGAACTAGTCTCATATTTCTTGAAAAGGATATATAAAAAAATCAAATATACACATATTATTCCTTTATAACCCATTTTTATATTCATGACAGTTCAATGGACACAAAAGTAACCATTTGTATTTATTAAAGTTACTAAACTGGAAACCACAGTGGTGCTCCTGAATAAAGGTTTGAGGACAGTCCAAACTACACAATTTATACTTTAAAGGATTTTGATGGAACTAACCCAAGGCAATTATAATAAGCTAGATACTAAGAGAATAGAGAAGCTAAACAATATACTCAAGTTTCTAGAATTGGAACTTCTTAATTTTTCAAAATCTGTAAAATAAACTGCCCACTTTGTAGATGATCAACTTACAAAGAGAATCACCTACAATTAAGGGGACTATATAGATTGTCAAATATTGTAACTTAGATAGCCCTTTCAAAATAATAACACCTCATACTACAATTTTGAATAAGTAATTAAATAATTACAGAGAGTACGAAAACTCACAGTTTCTCTTCAAGTTTCATTAATTTTATTTTGGAAGTAAAACATGGTTTCTCTGGTCCTTATTGTTCAGCAGTTATAGACCAAACCTATTCTTATTTACAGTCATGTTACAAATATTAATTCACTGAATCCCAGGTGAAGCCTAGGATTAAGGCACTATATTTATCCCTACTCTGTATATAAAGAAACTGAGGTTCAGAAATGTCAGGTAAAATGAGCCAAGTTCACTCCGCTCTTAAATACTGGAACCAGGATTCTAACATTTACTATCAAGAGCCTACCCATACTATCAACCACCTTACTATACTGCTCTTTCAATTAGTCTCCTAACTGGTCATTACGTTCCATAACAAAGAAAAACACCTCACAAAAATCAGACCAAAATACCAAACTCTATTATAAATGTCTGTTTGTGCACCATTCATTGCACAAAAGTCAGACTTCACAAAACATGTAAAATGGTCCCTAGAGACTTTAAATAGGGAATTATTTAGAGGATTTAAATTAGTTTACAAAAAGTTAGTTTACATATGATTTTTCAGGAAAATGTGATATGAAACAAAGTGCTACGGTCACTATAGCCAGAGAACAATGCCCATCAACCTCTGGATTACATAATAATGTTAGCTATTTAATTAGAGGGGTGGCTTAAGAGAAGTAGAATACAAAGGATTTGAAGCTAGAATTGCTGAATTTGACTCTAGGTTCCACATGTATCTGTGACCTTGCACAGGTTACAAACTTCTTATAGTTTCTATTCAAACCTGAAAAATGGGGCTAATCTCACTTGGTAATTTGGGATGCTTAAAATAAGATAATGTTTTGAAAGCCTAATGGCATATAAATATTGGTTTATTTCACGCATGGAATTCCAATACCAATTGTGCAATAACAGCACCACTCTAATTAAACACATGCGCATTTCTGAGAAAAGTGAGTCAATTTTATCGGGGTGTCAAAAAAGAGAAAAAGGTATAAAAATTTTCTGTATTGGGTTTTCTAGATCCTTCCTTGGAGAGATTGTGAAATCTCTTTTTCTAATGGGAGTTAAAAATGATTTTAAGATCCCCCAATTTCTGCCTTCAGAGCATATTAACTTGTATAGCAACGACAAAAACTGGGCAGGAATCCATTACAATTGCTCTAAATTCTAAAACTGCAGCCTTTTTGGTAAAAGACATAACGTTAATTCAACTTTAAGTGGCATTTAAATGGCAGTGTCGTGTGACTATATCAAGAATATTCAAGATACCAAAATACATCTAGTTCTAAAACGTTTAGAATTTGTAAAACACAATAATGGAATATATAGACAAACTTCACTGAAGTTCAGCGGTAGATTTTTTTTCTTGTACTTTTTTTTTTTTTTTAACGTACGGAGTAGAGGCGTCCTCCTCCATATTACAAAACCAAAAGCGCATTAAACATATTAAGTATCCCCAGGAGCAGCTGCTCGGTTTTCCTTTTCCCGGTGGTTCCGAGACCCCTCCTAGTTCAGAAACGGCTGACTTCGGGAAAGGGTGGGACTCCTGGGGTTAATATTTGGAGGGTTCCGAAGCCAGAGAAAGAAAAAGGATATTCTGAACTGAGAACGCCGCCTATAGGGTTCAGGTCGGGATGAATCCGGTCCCGCGGTGAGAGGAGGGAGTAGGCGTGAAAGCAAGGCGAGGGTCCGAAATCCCGGACGGCGTGCAGCAGCGGCGTGAAGCGGGCCAGGCGCTCCGAGCCGGCTCCTTCTCCAGCACGGCTTCCTAGCCCGCCGGGCCGCACCTATTTTCGGCCCATACCCCAGTTCCCAAACACCACCATATCCATGCCCCAGCCCCCCGCAGCCTTGGTGTCCCTCTCACCTCGCAGCTTCGCCTGAACCCTGCAGCCATGTCGCCTCCTGGTGCAGCCACTCGGACCACAAGTCACTGGCCAGCGCCCAAATCGTCAGACTCTGCGGGAGCGCGGGACCCTCCTGGCTCCGCCCACCGGGTGGACGCGGGCGGGGCCCGGGGAGGGAGCAGGGCAGCCACAGGAGGGGACGGGGCGGGAGGGGGTGCGTGCGTGGCTCATCCAAACGCATGCTCGGTGGCTCTCGCCAGCTCCGTCCGCGGGATTTGGGTGTGGGTCCCCCGGAAAGGCTTGGGTGCCTTCTGGTCTTCTGAGTTCAAACGTCGCGCGCTCTCTGGGGTATGCTGAGGCTGACGGTGGTGGGGAGAGGGAGCACCGAGGGACGCAGGGGCTGGGAGGGCCAGGTGGCGCCGAGGGATGGGGGACCGGGCGCGGGGCAGGACGGGAATCTGGGTGAAAGGGCGCGGTGGAGGCCTGGGCGGGGAGCTTTCGTCCGCGGTCAGCCTTGACCTTCACCCGGCGAGTCCGGTCAAACCCACATGGTTTCTATTTTGATGACTCAGAGTACACACAGTACACTTAACTCTCAAGAGCTGGGCCGAAAGCGAAAGCACACCTGTGCTTCTCAAAATTTAAAAAAACGGAAACTTAACTGCTTCGGTAAATTTAAAATATAGCCAAGGCAGTTTATTACTGTCCACGTGTGTGGATATGGAGAGTGTCGTTAGAAGTGAGGGTGTAAGATGACCCTATCCAAAAGCTCCTGGCTCAGCAAATGAATGGTGAGAGTGAATGTCTGTCAGCCTTGAAAAATTCTACTTAGAGGCACTTCCTTTTCCAATTAGACCCTGAGTCTTTTACCAAGACCAAGTCTCCAGGCTGGATTTTTGGCATAAGAAGGGAAGTGGTAGATGGGAGTAACACCTGCTTGCCATACTTTTTAATGGATTCTTGGACTTTTTGCAGGTGGATAATATGTTTTAAGATTACTGTGACATCCGGATCATGAAAGAGGTCAGTGGTTGGAGATCGGCTTTCAGGGATACCTATATTCCCAAAAGAATAATAGATAATACCTGAGTCCAGGATAGGGAGTTTTCCTGGCAGAGCTTGGCTAAAGTCTTTTTTAGGGTGTGATTAGCCTTTTCTACTTTTCCTGAAGACTGGGTGCACCACACAGCATGTAGCTTAATCTGTGCCCAGAGAAGTCCCAACCTTTTGGGGTTATTTGGGCTGTGAATGAAGACCCATTATCATTTTGTAGGCCTCCGAGAAATCTGAACCTAGATATAAGTTCCCTCAGAAGATACTTTACCACTTCCACCACTTCCAGTACCTTCTCAGTTCTGGTAGGAAAGGCTTCAGCCCAACCTGTAAAAGTGTCCAGGAATACCAGTAGATATTTAAACCCACCTGACTTTGGCATTTGGGTAAAATCCATTTACCAGTCTTCTGGGTATGCACCCCAGTGTTGTGTGGGCTGTAACAGGGAACGAAGTCTAAGGCCTACCCCCTCTCCCCTCTCCACCTTAGGGCAATCCTTTCCCCAGCACCCTTCTTCCTTCCAATAAGCACACTGATCCTTTCCCAAGGGTGTGTGTGATCCTTCCCCCATCTTTCCATTGGCTTGTCAATTGATTGCAGCTGCTGGGAGGATCACCTGCGGCTTCATTTTCCTTTGTTCCTCTGCATCTTGGGCCTGGACTCTGCCGTTGTAAACCTTAGAAGCAGCCTCTACCAAATGTTATATAGGCAGCCCAAGAGCGCCATCTACCTTCTGTAACTTTTTTTCTAATATCGAGGGCACTTTGGCTGATAGAAATCATATTTAATATTTTCTGATTTTTCAGGGCATCAGGATCTGCATTAGTATATCTCCTATATGCCTGAAATACTCATTTCTGAAATTGGGAGGGGTCTTCCTGTGGTTTCTGTCGAACCTCCTGGACCTTGTTTAGGCTCTTCAGTTGAGAGACCCCTTTTTTAGTCCTTCCAAAAATCATTTTTTGTAATGCTCTTAGCAGGGCATTTCCCTGTTACTTATATCCCAGTTGGGCTCAACTATGGGGATGGCCTTAGCAGAATCAGAACAATTGTCCCTGTACTCAACGTAGAGTAGGCCTCCTTTCTTGCTTTATCATGTTATTTCTCAGCCATGAGCAAAATATTCATAAGGGACCAATTGGGGTGGTATGTTAAAAAGATGGAGAACAGTTCAGTCATACGGTTGAGGTCATCTCCATAAGAGGGGTTATTATTTTTCCAATTAAAGAGATCCGAAGTGGGAAAGGGGTAATGTACTCATATCATGCCTGCTGGCTGTCTATTAGTGTTTACTCCTACAACTGGGAGTTAGTGAAGTGGAAACTGCCTTGCTTGGGGACCTCCATCTCTGTGGGTACTAGATAGACCATGTCCTGACCTCCTCGCCCTCCCTCAGCCAAGGGAGGATATAATGTTTCTGTACCCTGCTCTCAGTATGGAGGTAGATCGGTGGTTGTTGGGGTGTGGGATTTTACAGGTTGGGGGGAGACACTGGTACAGGTGTGGTGATGGTGGCAGGGGGGTCAGCTGAGGGGGTGGTGGTGTGGGCATTGGCAGTGGAGCCAGTGGCATGGTGGGAGAATTCAAGGTATGTATCAAACAAAAAAATCTCATCTTCCTCTCTGGTGCTTCTAGACTCTAATATTCTGAGCTTAGGTTTCTTAGCCCTGTGTACCATTAAATTGCGCCTTCTTTGTGCACACTTATTTTGGTGTAGTAACATAAAAGCTTGTACATATAGGATTTCATCCCATTTTTCTTCTCTTTTACGAAACAATTCTAATTGCAGAATGATAATATAATTCAAAGAACCATTAACTGGCCCCTTTTCTCCAGAGCCTAGAGAGTATTGTGGCCAGGCAGTGTTGCAGAAGAGGATCATTTTCTTACATTTTATAGGCTTATAGCTATACACAGTCCAATTTTGGAGGATGCAATCCAGTGGGCTGCATTCAGGGACTGAATTAGTATTTCCCATAACTATCACTCTGCTAACATTTACACACACACAACAAACAAACCAAATTCCTGCAGGACAAAAACAAAAGGGTGAAGTCCAGCAATTCCCACAACTCTGCCAAAGGAGGTTCCCCCGCAACTTCAAATAGGCAAAATGGAATCACTACCATGGGTGTCCTGAAGACTCACCAGCAAATAAATGCAAAACTGAAAGCAAACAATAATTTATGAAGTTCAGTGTGTTTCACCACTCCAAGCACGTCTTGTGCCCAAGGTGGTTGATGCTGGCAGGAAAGGAAGCAAAAAGGGGAGTCCGCCAGGCAACACACCTGAGCGGATGCAGGGACCCTTGAGTGCTCGGATCCAACTGGGGACACCTAGCCACGGGCACAAGGCTCCTGGCTGGCTTGATGAATTTGTTGCCAGAACCCCAAGTTCCAGGTTCAGGTACCCAGTGCACAGCTAAAGCCAAAACACTAAAACACCGGTGCTTGGAGACAGAGAAATGTTTATTCAAATTGGTCAAAACGTGAACACAGGAGAGCAAAATCTCTCAGATCCGTCTTCTCATAGAAACAAGGCAAGGAGTATAGGGTTAAGTGGTAAGGGAGAGGGAGTCTCAGGGAAGTTAGGGGAAGGTCTGTGTTTTCTTAGACTCTGGATAAGCTCTTAGTAGACAACCAGGCTCCTTAGCACCAGTGGCAGCTGGGGCTGGGTACTCTGGTGGTCTCAAATTCTTTGAGAGCATTCGTTCTTTCTGCAAAACAAACTCATCAATTTTCCTTGTGATCTTTGGATCATCTCTTACTGCTTGATGGAAAACCAGACATCAGCAACTTGTATTAGGGACAAGGGGTAGTGGGTGGGAGGTTAACAAGCTGTCAGAAAGCAAAAGTTTAACAAACACTCAGGCCATTCATTTTTAGCCACTATTAAAATTTAAACCATTGAAATTCCAGAGGGAATTGGCTTCACTTTCATACCTTTACTTAGATTTATTCATAGATTGGTGTTTTATTAGCGACTTTTCCTTAAAATACTTATTTCACATGGCTTGTGAGGCATTACTGTCTCTTCCTCTGACTGCCTATACCTTTGCTGATCCTTCCTCATCATCCAGATTTCTAAATTTTGGTTATTGCTGTGCTTAGTCCTTGGTCCTAGACAATATTGATACTCTAACCAGATCTCTTAACAGATGGTGGACAAGTACCTAAGTTAAAAGCTTATACCTGTGATCTCTGGAGAATTGCCCTTGTCTAATGGGAGCCCCCTCCCAGGAGATGCCCAGAAGTATATTTCCCATTCCCCTCCCCTGCAGCCAGTGATGATTCAGGAATACAAAAGCCTGGCATCCTTGCTTCAGAGTGGGTAAACTCAGCTCCCAGAGGCTCTAAGCCACCCATGCTCCAATGAAGGATTAGGAGAAAGCTGAATTTTGCCTGAGACTATATTCTTATTCAGATATTTTTTTCTTTATTTTATTTCCCTCATGGCCTTACAGGTTTTTCTTGAGGAGAGATCCCTCAATAAATCAAGTGTTCCCAATCCTTGTCTCAAGCTTTGCTTCTAAGGAAACTGACCTAATTCTGTAGCTCTTCTATTCTCTATCTCTACTCATTCCCTAGGTGATTTCATCTAGTCTAGTGGTATTAAATATTTTTTTTTAATGATAACAACTCCAGAATTTATATTGCCAGCCTTAACCTCTCCTCTGAACTTGAGACTCAAAAATCTGTCTCATTGCTGTCATCTCCATTTCGGTGTCTAAAAAGCCTATCAAATTTAACAAGTACAAAACTAAACTTTTGAATTTTTCCATCTCAGTGAAAGGCATCTGTATTTAGTAAATTTCTCAGGCTAAACAACCGCAGCCAATCATCCTTGACTCTTCCCTTTCTCCCATTTCTCAATTCATACATCAGCAAATCCAATTTATTCTATTTTCCAAATACATCCACTTTCAGAAAATCCTATTGAGTCTACTGTACAAATATATCCTGAATCTGCCCACATGTTAACTGTTTATGGCAACCCCTTCTCCAAGTAACTGTTAGCTTTCACCTTGTAAAGATGCGTCGTAACAGCCTCCTAACTTCCTGCTTTCCTACCA